TGTGAAAATATTTTCTAGTAAGAAAGTAAGTAGATGCCTAGCCCACCCAATGTTGCATATTAACCCTGCTGAAATCCTCCTGCAGTATTTCTCTTCTCATAACTGTTTGTTCAGGTGTACTCTCCTTTTTCCTCCCAAACTTGTCATATGCTCTAAATCTGTCATATAGTAATTCAACAGATAAATTTATATGTCAAAATGTGAATTCCTGATGAAAAGAAGTGAGGTAGACAACTCAGAGAAACACTCTCTTACTCACTTTCCCCTCTAGCTACATCTGTCCTTTGCTTTTGTTTTGAAACTGTTTCCCTTATTGCCCATCTCCATTTCTTCAAGTTCCACTCTACCCTGGCCTCTGCCTCTATCCCTCCAGTGAACTGTGCTCACAGATGGAATCCATCACCTCCCACGGATCAAGTTACTGAAGACTTTTAGAACCCATCTTATTTGACTTAAATCAGCAACGCTCAAAAAAGCAACTTATCTAGGTACTTCTCCCATATTTGTATCTTTTCTCCAGTGTTACCTAGTTTAAGAAGTACTCACCCACTTAGTTGTGTATAAACTAAAACTTTCCCTTGCAGTACCATGAAAATTCACTTGCTAATCTCAGTTTCTGTTGCTTTTAAGCATCATTGAGTCAGTTCCAACTCATAGCTACCCCAATACAGGGTTTCTGAGAAGCAGCTTGGGGGTTTGAAACTGCCAACCTTGTGGTTTGCAGTCCAGTGCAGATCCTACAGAGCCACACTAGGAATCCATCAGTATCTCCCCCCAAATAACCACAAATAAACCTAGAACCTAGGTTTGAAAAAAAAAAAAAAAGTATATTTGCTGCATGAAAGACAGGCTTGCCCTGCTTCCTCTCACCATAAAGCCATCATTAAACTGTACCCATAAAGAAATTCTGGGGTTGTTATCTTCACATCTCTTCTACCTAAATCCCATCATAAAGTGAAAATCTTCATTACTAGAACCTCCTCCTAAGTGATACAGTTGCTGATCAATTTTCTATACTCTATTGAGGTCAGATCACTCCCAAATTTAAATCCTTCATTAACTTCCCATTGTTGTTGCAATTCAAAACCTTAATGTGACTAAGAGGTCCTTTTCAATCTGAGACTACCTACCTCTTATAGTCAGAGGACAATTATAGACTTTAGAGGCAGACTGCTTGGATTTAAATCACAACTCTAATGCTTATTAGTTATATGTGTTTATTAGCTTTAGTTCATTTTTTAATATAATAAAGAAGAAACTGCTGACCCTTGATATTTTTCCAGAGGAAAATTTTGTAGTTTCAATAATAAGACTCAGGAAGTAAGAGGAAGCTTCAAAAGTTCATAGAAAATTTTCAACATCTTTTACTTCAATTTTTCCATGAATTTTGAAGCCCCTTAATATATGCCAGAAGAGAATTTTGTTTCCTTATATTACAATTGGCACAACATAATTGTTGCTGATTTTAAGTGCCGTTGAGTTGGTTCCAACTCATAGTGACCCTGTGTAGGGTTTCCAAGGAGCAGCCAACCTGTGGTTTGCAGTCCAGTGCTATCCTGTTGTTGTTGTTGTTGTGCTGTGCCATGGAGTCGATTCCGACTCATAGCAACCCTACACAGGGTTTCCGAGGCTGTAAATCTTTACGGGAGCAGACCGCCTCATCTTTCTCCTGCGGAACCGCTGGTAGTTTCGAACTACTGATCTTATGGCTCGCAACCTGATTTGTAACCACTACGCTACCAGAGCTCCTTAGTGCTATCCTACAACAACATAATTAAAGATATAAAAAAGAACCAAAACTACTAGTTAAAGTGTATTATTTAAATGAATTAACTGCATGACAATTACTACTGTGCATATTCAAATAGTTTCATTCTGTCCATAGTTAATAAAGAAGGACCATCAATATATTAACATAAAACCTTAAATTTGGCTGATGTTGTAAAGTATCTTACAACAGGAAAAAAAAAATCATTGAGATTCATTCAAAATGAAACGTATTAGGTATCCTACTACTTTTTCCATTCTTCAAGGTAAAATTGAAAACAAAATTCTTGACAAAATTTTAAAACTTTAAACAATAATGTAACTGGAGATCATCAACTCCTTCCTTTTCTTTATCTTTAACCTCTTCTACGAAGATTCTGATTATTCTATGAACGTACCCCATTTTCTGCCATCCAAACTACAATTTCCTCTAATATACACTATATACCAATGCCTCCATTTGAAAAATCTTCCTCAAAACACTGCTTATCTAGATCTGCCTCCACCGTATCACTCAAGATGTAATGACAAAAACAATAGATAGTCCAAATATCCAGGAATTCAATAAGCATGTCTCAGTTATTTTTATGTATTTTTTCATATATTTGCTTCTTCCTTCCAGAACTTTTCTTTTTGCCTAGCTTTGGATAGAGCATCCCTTCTTCTCCACCTACTTCTCTGAATCATTCCTTCTTAGTCTCCTTAGAGCTAGATCCCTTTCCCTGCCTGCTCCTTATAGTGTTGACCGCCTCTTTTCACTTTATCCTCTTTCCCCAGACAATCTGGTCTACTTCCAAGGTTTTAGCTACAGTAAAACCTAAGAAAGAACCTGTGTAAGATGGAAACCTATCAGCAATGGAAAACAAACATTGTCCACTATTAGCCATAGAATAGTGGCGATAGCCCCCTTTCAAAGGGGAAACACTTGTGAGATTCAAAAAATAAGACACTCCCATTTAGTTGCAGCTCTCACAGGTTTCGTTGTACTGAGTTAATGGTTGTGAACCTGTTTCTCCAACTCGGACCACTCTGGAAACTTCCAGAATCATATATCCATCTAAATGTCTATTTGGATAGCCAAAGGCCCTTTAAAACAATGCTCCTAAAAATGCCATGTGCCTTCTTTCCTCTACAGTCAACTATTTTCCCTGACAACTCTCTATTCTTGATGGCATGACTCTATTCAGACACCTGGATATCACTCATTCATTTCCAACTAATCAATAGATCTGCTCCACAAGAATTTCCTAGGCTATACTTTTTCAGAAGGAGAAAATCGTTAGCACTTTTCCTAAAGAGAAACTCAGGATTAATTCATCCGCATACACTTTCCATCATTAAAATTTTTCTGTTTATGTTACATTTATGATCATATATTAAGATGTGACTTTGATAAAACAAACTCAAGAATTTACCAATTATACATTTCCACACCTACTGAATAAAGGCACCCACATGTCCTAGTAAATGGCATTACAATTCATCCAGGCACTGATGCCAAAAACTTGAAAAGTTATCTTTGGCTCTTCTTTCTTTCCTATTCCACATATAAATTATCAACTTAATTTTCTACTTAACATAATTCTCAGGAAATTATGTGATGAGAGAGAGTAAGAATCTGATTACAACTCTCTGGTAGTGATGTGTCATTTCTATGTACCCTTACAAATAAGATTATTTGGTTAGAGTAGTTTTGTATTAATGCAACATAAAATATGATGCTTTTAAGTTTTACCTTAAAGTAATCATTCTTCAATGTTAACACTTTATAACAAATGTATAAACCAGGTTTATTTCTTGGTTCTCATTCATCCATCCATTCACTCATTCTCAAAAGTTGAAGCGATAGTTGTCATTTAAGATCTATAAAGAATAAGACCAGAAGTACAAAAGGAGTTTTCTAATTTGTTTAAAAAATTTACTATTTCTTTAGGAAGATAATCAAAATTAGGTAGCCCAAATAGGTACTAAAACAAGATTTAATTTTTCAAATACTGTTGAAAAATGAACTAGTCTACATATATAAATTTGCCAGCCAACTTTATGGTTTTAGTGCTGTTTGTTTCTTTGTAAGAAGTATTTGTAAAATATATTAGGTAATCATCTGCCTTTTTAAAGAGGAAAAGTGAAGATCATTCTAAATTATTAATAATGACACGTTACTTATTTATCACAACATGTCACAATAAATGTATATTCCAGGAAATTGTGAGGTGAGACAAAGTCAGGATACCTGCCCTTGCTTAACTGTTGTAATTCTAAATAGCTAGTTTTGTGTATGTGTGTGTTTTGTTTTTGTTTTAAAACAGACTTCCTTTCTCCACCCTTCTTTTCAGCAGCCCTTATTGTTAGCCTGCTTTTCTCTATGAGTCCTTCTCTGTGTTTGACCTGCTGGTAACAAAGCTTGGTGATGACGTAAACTAGCTCCTATTCCCTGCTCAAGGCTCCTGGAGGTTTATTCTTTATTTCTCCAACTTTAAAAAGTACAAGCGGAAGCTATTTACCCTTCTGTTTGGTGACTGTGGAGCTCATCTCTGAGCTTACTATTAAGTTTCTTAAAGATCTCAAGGGTTTGACCACTTAATCGTAAGACATAAAACCAAGTATCATTACTACAGCAAATTACAAATCCTACATTCAAATGACCTAAGCAAGCACTGGATAATGTCAACCTCACACCCACAGTTCTAAGCAATTTATGATAGAAACATAATTAGAAATGTTGGTGTAGGAAAATAATTCCAATTTGGAATAAGGGGCAAAACACGAGGCACTGTAGGATCAGCAATGAACCAAAAGGCCAGCAGTTCAAACCCATCAGCTGCTCCTCAGAAATCCTATACCGGGTTGCTGTGACACAGAACCGACTCAGTAGCACACAAAAACAAATACAGAAGAATCCTGGTATGGCACTGTAGGATAAGCACTGGACAGCAAGGTAGGTTTGAACCGAAGGTAGGCAGTTCAGACGCACCAGCCACTACCTGGAAGCTTTATACAGGTTACTATGTGTCGGACCTGACTCGATGGCACTTAACAACAACAACAACATACAGAAGATCATTTGAATAGGCCAGGGAGGTTCATTGCATACAGTAACGTATAGGGTAATTTAGCCCACAGAACATTGACTATTAAAATGAAATGCTATGAAAAAGCAAGAGAAAGCTTGGTTTATGCAATGCAATAAATCTATGGATGGATGGGCAAAGCGCATCTCCTGTTGCACGCACCCTGTTGCTCATCAAGTGACATGGATCCGAGCTGTTTGTTAACCACAGAAGAAGGAGAATCTGAAACAAAAATGAGATTTCAACTTAAAAGTAAGCAGCAGAAAACTGCACAGCAATGTCATGATCATCTCTAAGCTTAAGAAACATAATGCATAGGATGGGAAATAGATGTAAGTACTGTGGTACGCTTCTCAAGCAGTGAATAAGCAGGGTCATGTGCTTAAGATATGTTATTCCAGGCAAGCATTTAGCAACTTGGAAAATGAGTAGAGAAATATTTTTCTAGTATCATGCATAGAACTTTTTCAAGTCTATTTAGCACAAGCAAAAGGGTTAAGCTAGGTAATTAGAAATGGGATATCTCATTCACTACACAGAAGAATCCCTGTCCTTCTCAAACCACCTCTCCAGCTCCTTAACATGTCTTTCATCCTGCTTTGCAAGGTTCAAGACATGAAATGCAGTGCTCACTGCACTTTGCTCAATGTGGTTTGCAGCATGTGAACTAAAGCAAGGAGCTCCAGGCACAAGGTTTTAGAGGGAAAAAATGGTTTATAAGAGAAATATTCAATGAATTAAGTACCATCACAAAAATGCATGTAACTTTAAAGGGTTTTTGGTATATTGTGCATATTAAAGCTGTACTCTGTGCAGGCAGAGGTTTCTTTAGAAGTGCTTGGTATGAAAAGTAAAAGAGAGGCAAAGAAGGCTTAGTGCTCAGGGATTTAGTCTTTCCATCTTGGCTTCAAACAAAATAGTTTTGCTTTTATCTTTTTGATACACTGATTCTATTTTAAAAACGAATTGCTTTATAAGGGTTCCACTGCTTGAAAAGCACTGGTACAGAAGAAGGAAGGCAGCATGGTAAAATGTACAGGGCACTGGTCTAGAGTTAGAAAATTTTATTCTAGACCTAGATTAGACATAATTAGCTCTGTGACACAGGAAAGGCCACAACGATTTTCGGCCTAAACTTCTCCCTTCACCCTGATTAGCTTAGGGTTTTGGTAACAGAAACAAGGCACTGGAGGAGAAGGTGGTAACTATGTCCCATTTTTTTACTTGGGTTCCAAAGTCCCAGTGGGGTTACAGGACAGGGGAAGATATGGATAACATGCATAATTCTCCAAATGTAAGAATAACTCCTAGTTTGTAATATCTTGTGATCTAGATCTTAGCAAATGTTAATAAAGTAAAATTAAAAAACAAATAGCTATCACCTAGTATGGCTAATAATCAACTTCTGATCATGATAGCACACCATCTACTTAAAAGTAAGATTTTTCTCCAGTAGATTCTGGATTCCCACCAATTTTGAATCACTCAACTGCTTCCATTTGTACATTTATACATTTAAAGTCAGATTTCTACTATCATGGCCATTTTCATTGGTCTTAAATCTACTGTCATCTAATACTACCAGTTTATTCATAGATTTTTATTATCCATTAAATTTTGATAAAACATGATCATCATATAACTTTAGGTTATCCTACTTAAAACCTCTTCATCAGAGCACTCATTTAAACAAATTTTTCTATACAAAAAAGAAAGTGGAAATGACAGTTTTTCAATTAATTTCCTAGTCTACCCCTGATTTACTTCCCATTTACCCATCTCATTGTTAGGTACAACATTCCCATCTGTGTTGTTTTTAAAGAAGAGATAAGTTGGTTTTTTGAGATAAACAAAATTCTACTCCTTCAGACAAAAAGAAAACATAACAGAAATGTGACCCAAAGTCAGTGTTGTAAATATTACAATGTCTTCCTAAAAAGTGTCCCATGAAATCTTTTTGAGTTATTTAATTCATTATACATTTTCCACTATGCTCTCATTTAATAATTGAGAGTCTTAAAAAAACTATAAACTTTCCAAGTGGTCTTACTTTTCAAAGACATAATTGTTATATACCTATTATAATATATATAAATCTTATTGAAATAAAGCACTTCTTACTTATTTTTATAACATTTAGGAAGGAATCACTGCAAAAAGCACATTGGTAAAGGATCTAAAAGGCTGTCATCACCACAAAATTTTGTATTTTCACAAACTGGAAGGATTTAACATATTGATAAAGCTGATGCTATGACAAACACATAGCATTAATACAAAAGGGTTTGGTTTTATAGTCTATCAAGAATATCATGCACATCTGGGGAATTATTTGTTGTTTCTCCCATCTTGAAGATAAAATCCTATTTGGTCATTACTTCTAATCTACTTTTTTATCTTGGTTATCAATGCAACTGTTTCTGGATTTTTTTTTCTTCCGTCACATAAACCTTTTTAGTGACTTTTTTTAACCCCACGATATATGTAAATACAATACTCATAGCTCCTATTTTACAGAAATATTTTCAAATATTAGTACAACAACTATCAAACTAGCTAATATTCAACAATTGTAATTATTAGGTCAAGCCTGCCTGCGTCAGTTGTTGGCATACTCTGCTGAAGTACATATATTCTATAAGCACCATCACAAATAAAACCTAAATGCATTATCTAGTGATAACTTGTTATTACAAAATGCACTATAGTTGATCAGTTTCTTAGAAATGTTTAGAGTTATAATGTTATTTTTGAGGTAGAGAGAAACTTCTGGAAAATATTTTAATCAATATTAAGCTGTGTATCTCATGGTCAACTGCTATGTAGTTAATAAATTTGTCTTTAGGTTTTGTGAAAATTGTTAGCTCCTCGACAAGAGAATTTTCTCAACTGTAGAAAAAAACAGAAAATTATAGTTTAACAGGAAAATAATAATAGCTCTTCAGCCAGATTCCTGGTTTTTCTTACTTAGAAATATTGTAACACTGGGCAAGTTACTTAACTTCTCTAAGTCTCAGTTTCTCCAAAGGTAAAATGGGGATTCATCACAGTATCTATCAGAAGATTTAATGAATATTTTAGACTACTTAGATAACACATAGGAAAGGATCAATTAATGTTAATTATTATTATTATTACTTGCCTAGTTTTCAGATATATGGTGTTGAAAGAAAAAATAATGATAGGAAGCTGTTCTGCAAAATATAGAGCATACTGTCACATGTAAAATTTTAAGAGACGCATCTTTATTTTGACCAGGACTCTGATAGGTATTCAAGTAACTAAGGAGTGTTTGCAGAGCTAGGTCAACAGCATTCAGGATTTAGTAACTGCTTCTGCTGCTAACCACTACAAACATGGGTCAAATGCCTCCATCTGAGAGCGTCTGCGTTGACACTGAGTATCTGGTGTCTGCATAGAACCTGCTGGTAAAGGATCGGGTAAGTGCTGATTTTCTCCAATATGGCTCAGTTTTGAAAAGCCCTTTTGCAAAATAATCACTAAAGTTTTATACCCTTTGGGGTACAAAAATTACTTGTTTTTTTTTCCAATCGGCAAAACCGTGCCATAAAGTGAAAAAACAGTTCCTACCTGACCCTCTCTAGACTGGCTCCATGCTCCAGTGGGGTTCTGTGGTGGTCAGGCCAGTACCAGCAGACTCCACAGGGTGCTGTCACTCTAAGCAGGAGCCAGCAACCCATGACTTCAGGGGACCTGAAATGGAAAAAGAGTTGAGCTTTAAAATCAGCCATACGCTGAATGCCTCAGCTATAGCTCTTTGGGGCATTCATCTGATAAACCTATGTATAGCTCATTAAAAACCTGGAAGGCTATTAATTTATATGGCCTTCACATTTGAGGTAGTAAAGAAAAGATACTATAATTAAAATAGCACAATGTATGTGTACTACTCTCCTTGAAAATATAACAATTTACATATACCCATTCTTATGCCATCTCTGTAAATCATGGCAGGTCACATTATATAAATAAATCAATAATTGGGAAACTGAGGCATAAAACAGACAAATGACCTGCCCAAGGTCATGTAGTCATAGAATCAGACACAAAAACTCTATCAGTCTAGTATCCATATAGTAATCTGATGACAGTAAATTCATTTAAAATTTTTAAAAAATCAGTCATTGAAAGACTAGAAAGGTATTGTGTAAGTTTTAGATTTCCTAAAAGTCCAGAAAAGAAAAAAAAAAAAAATCAAAAAAATGCGAAACAAAGTAAAAAATATTTTACCACAATATATATTCTGACTCTGAAAAATGAAATTTTAGAAAATTAGCTCTGAAATCTTATCATTTAGGGGTGTCTTTTGTTGTTGCTCTTGAGAGTAGTGGTTTTTAAACTTCATAGAGAAACAGAGGTACCTTTGGAATGGGTTTTACTTGCTTCGTGTTTAAATTCAGAATATTACTATTAAATACTTAATGTTCAGAGTTCCCACAGAAAACTAATGAAAGATTCACAACTGGGGGGCAGAAAAACTGCTGTTTAAAATCTTTTTAAAACAATTTGAAACTGAAGGTGATACTATTTGATATCTAAAGTATCTGTTTTAGTCTTTGATTGTGAAGAACTGTTAGCAACTCATAGACACTCTTCCATATGAAATAATCATTAACTAGTCAAAAAGGGAGTCCTGGTGTAGTGTGTTAGAATAAGCACTGGACCGCAAGGTTGATTTGAACCACAAGGTGGCAGTTCAAACCCACCAGCTGCCCCTTGAAAAGTACAGAGTCATAACGGACTCAAAGGCACTTAAACAGCAACAGCATGAGGATCGCTTCCATTTTATTCCACTGAAAATAAATATTATTTCTATAATTGTTTTTCTTACTTTCCTACAGATATTGGGAATTGTAGACTCAGTTTACATATAATCTCTTATAAATAATTCTTAGAAGTCCTATGTTTTAAAAAGAAAAGAAAATGTTTGTCAGTGTAAGAAGTCAGAAATTCTTTCCTTTGCTAAAATGTCTTGATTTCTAAATTACATTGTCTTTTTTGAACATCTTATACCTAAAGATTTAAACAGGTGAGAAAACAACATAAATATTTATTGTCATTATTAATGGTAATCATTAATATATTAAATACAATGGAAAATGTGCTTTTTCTATATGATAATTTCAGAGTACTGGTGTGGCGCTGCAGTTTAATGTGCTGGACTGCAAAGTCAGTGGCTCAGGCTCACCAGCCGCTCCTCAGAAACCGTATACAGAGTCACTATGGGTCAGAATCGACTCAATGGCAATTAGCAACAACATATGATAATTTTATATTCTTCTATTGACAGTAAATTAAAATCTAGAATGCTAACTTTGGTGCTTTCTAAACAGAAGTGATTTTAGTAATTAGATATGATTTTAGTAATAAGTATATGAATGACTATATTAATTAATGCATGAAACAAAACTTTAATAATTATAATTCGAATTAAAACATCCCCATTGAATTTCATAAATTTAATTACTATTCTGTGTTTCTGTAATTTGAAACGAAGAATTTTGCATTAAGTTTATTCATCTAAAATTTCCTAAATGGACATATAGCTCTTATTAGTTGTCCTTTATAATAAACTGACAGTTCTTAAAACTGGCGCTATGGGTTAATGAGCCAGACTGCAAAGTCATTTGAACTGCAAGGTTGGTGGCTCAAGCTTACCAGCTTGCTCCTCGGAAACACTATACAGGGTTGCTATGGGTCGGAACCAACTTGATGGCACTTAACAACTACAACACAAAGCTTTTAAGATTCCTGGTATGGCGCCATAGGATAAGCAATTGACCTCAAGGTCAGTTTGAACCACAGGTTGGTGGTTCAAACTCACCATCCTCTCCTTGGAAATCTTATGCAGGGTCACTATGAGTCAGAACCAACTAAACGGCATTTAACAACAACAAAGCTTTTAATAGCTTAATTAAGTATCCCTGTGACACGTGAGGGCAGAATAAAATGTAGCACTACTGAAATGAACCCAGGGCATGGTGGGATTCATTAAGGCCTACACTGGAGTCCTGGTGTGGTGCTGAAGGATAATGCACTGGACCACAATTTGACAATTTGAGCTGCAAGGTCCGAGGTTCAAACTCACCAGCCATTCCTCAGAAGTGCTATACAGGGTTGCTATGAGCTGCACTGACTAGATGATATTTAATAACAACAAAGGGGTTAAGGATACTCCCCCACCTTACTAGAAGGTGTGATTGAAGTTACCATGCTTAGATTTCCTTGGGGGCACAGTCTGAGTCCAATACAGAGGAATGCTTTGGCAAAGTTTGCCCTCTTGTTTTGGATCTTGCATCTGGCTCAGCATGTCTGACCTCCAATTTGTGGGACTTGCGGTCTATCACCTGACCTGATTCACTCTAGCCTCATGCATCAACAGCCTATCATCTGACTTGCCAGTTTGGGTTCCTCAGCTCTTGAGACTATGTGGGTGAGGAGACTCCTTCAGACTAATTATAGATTTGGGACTTCCTGGCCTCCACAACTGTGTGAGCCATTTCCTTTGACAAATGTAAATTCTGTGAGACATTGTAGTGTATTGCAAAACCCCGAGATGTGAGGGAGGGGAAGAGCAGTGACTGACATCAAGGATTATGGAGTTGTATAACTTGTTGGAAAAGTCAGGCATTTGGGATATCTTTAACCTCCAACTTATAGGGACCAGCCTGATGCTGATAGTTCTAAATGACGTTATTCGTGCAGGGCCCCATAAGGTTGCTCTCCGAAAGCATATGATAAAGATGAAGTACTTCCCCTTGTATATGAAAGGCCCAATATACACCCAGTGACAGCACTAGGGGCCTCTAGCACTGGCTCATGTGGGAGGCATCAGGGACCCGAGTAAACCCTTTCATAGTGAAGTTAAGATGTTTCTCAACTTCACAACTGCCAGTATCTATTCAACTTTAGCTTTTTAAAGTTACCACAAATAGACTGGTTACCAAACTAGATACTAATTAATGAGAATGACTGATCATCAGAAGTGGCAAGGTAATATCTTAATTTAGAGATTATATAATCACCCTAAAAGCTTTCTGTCTCTTAAAAAAAAGGAAAACTCTGCTTCACTTTAAGTGAGTAACTTAGATTTGGAAGGCTGCTGCTGTACAACAGTCAATTCCAACTCATAGACCCTACAGGACGGAGGAGAAGTGCCCCATAAGGCTTCCAAGGGTGTTGTCTTCTGAGAACAGAGCGTTAAGTCTCTTCTCTCAGAGAGCAGCTGGTGAGGGTGAAAGCTGACCTTAACAGCTAGCAGCTGAGTACTTAACTATTGTGCCACTAGGGCTCCTCCAAGAAAGGCTAGAAGTCTCTATTTTTTCTAATACCCACAGTGTTCATTTCCCATTAATGTGGACAATTTTCTTTTATACTTAAAAGACACTTTAACATTTGGCTTGTCAAATCTGGAAATTTCAATTTAAATATGTAGAGGGACATTTTTGTCTTCCTTTTTATTAGTTTTTATTTTTTCATGAATGTTTTTAGACTTTTAAAACACTTTGGCCAAAGTTTTATATAAAGTATGAATCACAGCAAAATGTTTTATTACTAAAGGTCATGATAATAATGTTGTTGTTGTGAAGTGCCATCGAGTCAGTTCCAACCCATAGCGACCCTATATAGGGTTTCCGAGGAGCGGCTGGTGAGCTTGAAATGCCGACCTTGTGGTTCAAACCCACAGTGCAGTCCAGCCCACTATCCTGCAGCACCACCCCAGGACTCGGATTATAATGTAATGAAGCCTAATTGTCAATTGTTAGTTTCAAGTTACAGGAAAACATTTCTCTATATTTAAAAAACAAAAAAGGAAAGAAAAAAACAGAGACAACTTTGCCTGACAGATATTCCTTGCATTCATGTAACACCACATTAGAAACCAAGTTGATGAGTTGCCCTAAACATCATATGTATACTAAAATTTATTTTATTTCACCCCAACATTGTATAAAGTACTTTTTTTTTTTTTTTTTTTTAACCAAAGCCCTTACTGGAACAGAAATTCATATACTGGAGATTGTCCAGGTCTACCAATACAGAGATTAATTCCAAGTATTTTCATCAGAGTTCTCTACATAATTAATGTCCAAATTCACTGTCCTTGGGATTGGTAAAACTAAGTAAGTCAAACAAAATATTATAAATTCATTAATATGAGAAGCTAGGCATATTTTAGTTCCTCAATGAAGACTAAATATATAATTTCCTATTATCCATCTTCTTGAAAGAGTTGACAAATTATTTTGTGCTATATTTACATTGCTCATGAATTCCTTCAAGACATATTTATTGAACATCATGAATGTTCTGATCAAAAAATAACTATGCCTTTAATAAACTCAATGATAAAGAGATTATTACTGTCCTATCAGAATTTTATATAAGAGAAGCAACAAGAGACTACAGTCCTTTTGCTGTCCTATGTATCAGAAAGTTGATTATATATAGAAGGAATTATTAAGCAAATATTGAAAAATTACAAATAAACACAGAAGCATGCTAGCAAATGGCCAAACAATGCTATAAATCTAGCATTACTAGGCTTGTATATGAATACTGGTTAATTTTCAAAGCAAAATACTTAATAAGGGGGAGGAGAAGCTAGGAGCCATAAGCAAAGATATCATTTCAGTATATAGGAAATTTCAATAAAGTATTAATGCAGGCTCCAAGACACTATGTAATTATTAGAAAGTACTTATCGATTATAAAACCAATAAATAGATCCCCTACTTCAAACATACGATAAGTAAAATAATAGACTTTTAAATTCATCTCTCTGGCAGATGTGTCCACCAATCTGTGCTTCTAATCATGTGATGATGAATACCACCACATGCATGGAAAGGAGGGATAAGCTGCAAGTGTATTAGCTCTCTTTTTGAGGGGCGGAAGGAAAGCATCTTATTAAACAGTAGCAATGTTAAAAACCAACTCTACTAGCTGCTTAAGGCCACTTGACATTAATAACCTGAAACATGAGGGTCCTGTGAAGAGCCCTCACGAGAAGACTGATCGGAAGTGGAAGGCTGTTGCTGGGTACTTGCAGCTAGCTCTTGCTGCCTCTGTTGCTCAGCCTTCTTAAGCCTCAGTTGTTGCAGGCGCTTACGAAGCAAAGCTATCTCAGGCCCCCTTAAGAATTCTGACACAGATAGAGAAAAAATGGTGAAAAGATAGTAAAAAAATGGAAAAAGAATTTGATTATGCATCAAAGAAAGAAAGGATGTAAATAAAACACATCTCATAGAGAAACACTAAAGACAAGTTAGTCATAAAAAAGGAATTACTACTCATTAAGTTACAAGATAGACTATATGCATTTACATGCTCATATATATATACCCAAATGCTTCTCTTTAACTATGATGAATCGAACACACATATATCTCTAAGAATGTAAGCAATTAAGCAGAATAAAAAGAAAGTCCTACATAGGCAAAAGATTTACAAATAAACATTACTTTCCTCACTAATGTTGCCTTTTTTTTTTAACAACAAAACATGAGAAAAGAAATAAAGTAGAAAAATACCATTTGTTTCATCTAAACGATACAAATCCCCCCTCCCCTCAACACACAAAAAACAAAAACCAAACAGTTATTTTACTAGTGAATAGACCAAAGACAAGTTCCAGTAGACAAGAGGAATAACTGGTTTGGGATAGTGCAATACACACTCCATCTCCTAGTACCCAAAGGGAGGCAAAGTATCTGAGTGTAGATTACACAGTTATAGTTTGGTGGTGGTGGTGGCATGCAGAAGTTCTCTCAGTGACATTAGTAGTGAATTAAAGAAACTACCAAATAGCTGTCAAGTTCCCCTACATAGGTGTAAAGATGCAAATTAATGCAAAATTTGTTTTATTATTTCAGGACTCAATTATAAAAAGGAGCTCTGGTAGCGTAGCAGTCTAGTGACTAGAGGGCAGATACATTAATTTGGGTAAAGGGGAGAAAGTTCATGAAAAAATGTAATTAAAAGATGATGGAAATTTTCCATAAACTTTTTAAAGCCCCCTTGTACAAGAGGGGGAGGTCAGCACAAATTGATCAAGGCAAAGGTAGAGTTAAAGGTGAGAGAAGTAAATATTATCAATATATAATCCCACAACAACAATTGTTATCATTGCTGTTATTGCTGTGTGCCCTCGAGTCAGTTCCAACTCACAGTAACCCTGTATCAGGTTCTCGAGGATATAAATCTTCATGGAAGTAAAAAGTCTTATTGTTCTCCTGCATAGCAACTGGTGGATTAGAACCGCACACCCTGCAGTTATAAGCCCGATGTATAACCCATTATGCCATCAGGGCTCCTTGCAATAGAAGCTGTTGCTTGTTCCTAAGTGCCATCAAATCAATTTCAATATATAGTGACCCTGAAAAGGGTTTCTGAGACTGTAAATCTTTACGTAAGCAGAAAGCCTCATCTTTCTCCTGTAGAATTGCTGGGCTAAAACCAGTGACCGTGTGGCTTGCAGACAATGCTTATTCTACAGAGCCACTGTGCTCCCCAAAATAAAAGCATTAGCAATGAGTTACAAGTAGCTATGTAGACAGACACACAAGATGAAGAGGCATGAGAAGGCAGATGCCACTATGCCCATATATACATATAGGTTTGACAAGATATTTATACATATGTATTTACATATGCTACAACTACATCACTGAATATAGTAGAGCATGCTGTTCTTGTTGTTAGGTGCCATCGATTCAGTACCGACTCACAGCGACCCTATGCACAACAAAATGAAATACTGCTCTCTCCTGGGCTAACCTCACAATTGTTGCCACGCTTGAGCCCATTGATGCTGCCACTTTGCCATTCCATCTCACTGGGGGTCTTCCTCTTTTTCTCTGATCCTCCACCTTACCAAACATGATATCCCTCTCCAGTGACTGGTCCCTCCTGACAATATGCATGAAGTATGAAAGACGAAGTTTGGCCATTCTGGCCTCCATGGAGCACTCTGGCTGCACTTCTTCCAAAACAGAATGTTGGTTCTTTTGGCAGCCCATGGCACTTTCAATATGCTCCTCCAACACCATAACTCACACCATAACTCAAATGCATCAATTCTTCTATAATCTTCCTTATTCACTGTCAAACTTTCACATGCATATGAGGTTATTGAAAATACTATGGCTTGGGTCAGGCACAGCTTAGTCCTCAAGCTGTCATCTTTGCTCTTCAATTCTTTAAAAAGGTCTTGTGCAGCAGATTTGCCTAATACAATATGTCGTTTGATTTCTTGGCTGCTGCTTCCATGAGTATTAACGGTTGATCCAAGAAAAATAAAGTCTTTGACAACTTCAATCTTTTCTCCATTGATAAGAATGTTGTTTACTGGTGAGGATTTTTGTTTCTTTTTTACACTGAAATGCAATCCATACCAAAGGCTATGGTCTTTGACCTTCATCAGCAAGTATTTTAAGTCTTATTCACTTTCAGGAAGCAAGGATGTATCATCTGCATATCGCATGTTGGGAGAGTCTTCCTCCAATTCTGATGCTACGTTTTTCTTCCTGTAACTCAGCTTCTCGGATTATTTGCTCAGCATACAGGTTGAATAAGTATGATGAAAGAATAAAACCCTATCGTACACCTTTCCTAATTTTAAACCATTCAGTGTTCCCATGTTCTGTTTGAACAACTACCTGTTGGTCTATGTACAGGTTCTCATGAGCACATTTATGTGTTCCATAATGCTCATACTTCACAATGTTGTCCATAGCTTGCCATGATCCACACAATCAAAGGCCTTTGTGTAGTCAATAAAGCACAGGGAAACGTCCTTCTGGTATTTTCTGCTTTCAGCCAAGATCCATCTGATGTCAGAGCATACTAAGGGAAAAGTTACAAAAACTTATAAGCCATAAACAAACACCTTGAAGGAATGAATTTCTGGGCCTGGAGGTTCAGAACCATAGTCTCAGGAGACAGCAACGTCAACTGGAAAGTGTTCTACATCCTACTTTGGTGAATATTGACTAGTATCTTAAAAGCTTGTGAGTGGCCATCTTAGGTACAACTATTGGTCTTTCTCTACCTGGGTCAAAGAAGAGCGTAGAAAACCAAGACATATGGAAATGATTAGTCCGAAGGAGTAATACACCATATGAGCCTCATCCTCCACAAGCCTGAGACCAGATGAACTAGATGGCACCCAGCTAACACTACTGACTGCTCTGAAACGGATCACAAAAAAGGGTCCAGGAAAGAGTGGGATAAAATGTGGAACAAAACTTAAAATCATAAAAAGACCAGGCTTATTGTTCTGATAGAGATTGGTAAAACCTCTAAGACTATCCCATTAGACATCCTTCAAGCCTGGAACTGAACTCACCTCTGGGGCTCAACTTTTAGCCAAATGATTTTTTGTTGTTGTTAGGTGTCATCGAGTCAGTACCAACTCACAGCGACCCTACGCACAACATTAATGAAACATTGCCTGGTCCTGTTTCAACCTCTTAAGTGTTATTATGTTTGAGCCCATTGCTGCTACCACTATGCCAATCCATATAGCTGGGGGTCTTTCTCTTTTTCTCTGACCCTCCACTTTACCAAACATGATACCCTTCTCCAGGGACTAGTCCTTCCTGATAATATGTCCGAAGTATAAAAGATGACATCTGGCCATCCTGGCCTCCAAGGAACATTCTGGCTGTACTTCTTCCAACATAAATCTGGTTTTTTTTTTTTTTGACAGTCTATGGTACTTTCAATATTCTCCTCCAACACCATCATTCAAATGAATCAATTTTTCTATGATTTTTCCTTATTCACTGTCCAACTTTCACAAGCATATGAGGTTATTGAAAATACCATGGCATGGGTCAGGTGCACTTTAGACATCTAACTGATATCTTTGCTCTTGCACACTTTAAAGAAGTCTTGTAGAGCACATTTTCCTAATGCAATATGTCGTTTAACTTCTTGACTGCTGCTTCCATGAGTGTTGATGGTTGATACGAGGAAAATGGAGTCTTTGACAACTTCAATCATTTCTCCACTTATATGGATATTGCTTATTGGTCCAGTGGTGAGGATTTTTGTCTTTTCTACACTAAGGCATAACACATAGTGAAAGTGGTGCTCTTTGATCTTTGTCAGTAAGTATTTTAGGTCCTCTTCACTTTCAGCAAGCAAGATTGCATATCGCAGGTTCGTCTTCCTCTAATTATGATGCCACTAGTTTTCTTTTTTGTTTTTTATTTCCCTATAATCTAGCTTCTCAGATTATGTGCTCAGCATAAGGACTGAAGAAATATGGTGAAAGAATATGACCCTGGTGCACAACTTCACTAATTTTAAACCATTCTGTGTTCTCTTGTTGTGTTTGAACATTTACCTTTTGGTCTACGTACAGGTTCCTCATGAGCACAATTAAGTGTTCCAGAATACTCATTCTCTGCAATGTTGTCCATAGTTTGTCATGATCCACACAATCAAAAACCTTTGCATAGTCAATAAAGCACAGGTAAACATCTTTCTAGTATTCTCTGCTTTCAGCCAAGATCCATCTGACATTGGCAATGATGTCCCTCATTGCACGTTCTTGTCTGAATCTGGCTTGAACTTCTGGCAGGTCTCTATCATTGTTTACTTGCAACTGTCTTTGGATTATCTTTAGCAAAATTTTACTTGTATGAGATATTGTCCGATGATTTCTGCATTCTGTTGGGTTACCTCTTTTTGGAATGGGCACAAATATGGATCTCTTCCAGTCAGATGGCCAGATAGTTGTTTTTCAAATTTCTTGGCATAGATTAGTGTGTACCTCCAGTATTTCATCAATTTGTTGAAATGTTTCAATTTGTATTCTATCAATTCCCAGAGCCTTGTTCTTTGCCAATGCCTTCAATGCACCTTGGACTTCTTCCTTCGGTATCATTGGCTATTGTTCATATGCTACCTCTTGAAATGGCTGAACATCGACCATTTCTTTTTGGTACAGTGACTCTGTGTATTCCTTCCATCTTCTTTTGATGCTTTCTGCAGCGTTCAATATTTTGTCCATAGAATCCTTCAATACCGAAAGTCGAGGCTTGAATTTTTTTCTTCAGTCCCTCAGCTTGAGAGATGTTGAGAGACTCCAAGTCTCTGCACATTTTGTTATACTATTTGTCTTCTTGAGCTGCTCTTTGAACTATTTAGCTCTTTTATCTCCTCATTTCTTCCATTTGCTTTAGCATCTATATGCTGGGGAGCAAGTTTCAGAGTCTCTTCTGACATTCAATTTGGTCTTTTTCTTCTTACTTGTCTTCTTAATGACCTTTTGCTTTCTTCCTGTATCATGTTCTTGATATCATCCCACAACTCGTCTGGGCTTCGGTCTTTATTGTGTTATGCATCAAATCTGTTGTTTAGATTATCTCTAAACTCAGGTGGGATATGCTCAAGGTCATATTTTGGCTCTTGTGAACTTGTTTTAATTTTCCTCGGCTTCAGCCTGATTTGCATATGAGCAATTGTTCCACAGTCTGCCCCTGGCCTTGTTTTGGTTGATTATATGAAGCTTTTCCACCATCTTTTTCCATAGAAGCAATTTGATTTCTGTGTATTCCATATGGTGAGGCCCATGCGTATCTTTTATTTGCAATGAAGAAGCCATTGGTCTTGCAAAATAATATCATGTGATCTACTGCATCATTTCTGTCACCAAAGTCCTATTTTCCAATTATGGATTTTTCCTCATTGTTCCTATCCTTTGCATTCCAATCACCAGTAATTATCAACACATCTTGATTACATGTGTGATCAATTTCAGATGGAAGAAGTTGGTAGAATTCTTCCATTTCATCATCACTGGCTTTGGTGGTTGATATGTAAATTTGAATAATAATGGTATTAACTGGTTTTCCTTGTAGGCTTATGGATATTATCCGATCACAGGCAGCATTGTATTTCAAGACAGACCTTGAAATATTCTTTTTGATGATGAATGTGATGACAAGCCAAATGATAGGTAGGCCTATAAGGTACGCAATAATATCAGGGAGCTATGTAGGCCTTCAAACAATCAACCATATGATCAAAAGAGTAGCATTTGCTCAGCAATGAAGCTCAAGAGGCATGAAGGGATAAGAATGAAGAATAAATGAAAATCATAAAAAAAAAAAAAGAAAAAGGCCAGGCTTACTGGCAGAACCCCCAAGACCAGGCCCTTAGTAACCATTCAGGTCTGAAAATGAACTCAACCACCATGGCTCAATTTTCAGCCAAACAGTAGATAGGGAGGCACATACACCTCGGAATAATCAACCATTTGAGATCAAAAGGGCAGCATTTACTCAAAGCCAAAGTTCAGAAGAGTTAGGAAAGGAAGAAGAGCAAAAACAGAAAACACAGCAAGGAAGTGGGATAAGTGAAGTTTCATTGTGGGGATTGAAATCAATGACAGGAAAATGTGCATGAACTGTTGAATGGAAAATTTATCTGCTCTGTAAACCTACATCCTATTCATAATAAAAGTTGAAAAAAAATTTTTTTAAGTGTAAAACACCTATAAAATGGGAGAAAAATATTAGGAAATCTGACAGGGGTTTAAAATGTAAAATACATAAATAACTACAACTCCACAACAAAAAGACTGACAACCTGATTTTTAAAATGGGCACAAGACTCAATCAGGTTGAGAAACATATTGGAGACTGTATGAAAATGAAGAAAATATACAAGTAAATCTTCTGAAAACTCAGAGATAGAAGGCAGTAGCTATAGAGGGATGTGGAATAGTTAAAAGAGGATTTTTTAATATCAGCAATAATAATTAAGCCTGTTTGAAGAAGGTCAAAGGAACAATTCAGTAGAAATGGCAATAACAATGATGAACATCTTTGAGAAGCTAGAAAGGTACTGCACTGGCTAGCCTTTCATAAGAACAGACACACTTCTCCCAGAATGTGGCTGTTTTCATTACAGACATGCACATATAGATGGTAGAAAGCTGGGAGATTCACTAGTAGGAAGATGAGTGTATTCCCCTCTAAGCACTTTTCACCGGGAAGAATGATAATAAGTTATCAACTGGTGGTAAGGTAAGGATGAAGGGGAGTGTTACAAGTTTGAGGAAAGTTGTGAGGATCTGAAGTAGATACTTTATGTAGCTGGAGAACAGCATGTTGAGAGACGACTCTGATGCACAGTGTTAAGTGTCCATTGACTCTTGTGATCATAATTTTCTCCAATGTCACTAAGTGATTTAGATGTAAACTAAGAAAAGGCAGATAATTAGGGTAAACAGCAAGGTAAATATAGATGAGAATACAGTCTTTCATTCCCTTTATCTCTCTCTGCAAGGCAGGGATACAAACCATGGCTCTAAGTCACTGTGAGCTGATACATTTACCCAATGGACTTCCACTATTCACAAACACATACAGACTTAGACTGTGATTAAGTACATGAGACAGAGGGGAAAAAATTAAGTCCTTACTATTGATATGTTTAGCTCTGGAAGAATACAAGAACAATCAAAATAACTACAGGTGTCTAGGTAGAGTGGAAATATTTCCTTATAATTTAATCAATCAAAATCCATCCAGTAACTTCCCAGTTAAAAATACTAAATTTTTTGGAAAAATGCAAAGATGCTAAGTAATGTTTAAACAATAATCACATGATCATCATAGGATGGGATATATCTACTTCAATAATTTGAATGATTAGTATTTCATAATTATAGTAACCAGTAAAAGTGAATTTAACTATTTAAAATATAGTATTATAATTTGTTAGGTATTAGGAACTCTAAACCAACTAAATACTTTATTCAGAGATATAGCTAAGAAACAATTGGAATTAGTTAAGGATCAACTAATTAGAGAATTTTTTCGTTTTCCTGGTAACTTACAATTTCTAAAAAGTATGCTGTCACTTTAAAAATTCCTACTGCTTTTAAAATAATTTTACCAGTGCCATAAAAGCAAAGTCTTAACTAAATATGCCCTTACTTCCCAAACCTTACATAATATTTTATGTTCCTTGAAGTTGAAATGTTAACAATGCTAACTAAAGTATGTAAACCTAATTTTGCACCTCATCTTTAGTTTATTAATATGGACAAAATGCACACAAATACTAACAGTTATGTAATTGACTCTGGCCTCTAGTCCCACAGAAACAAAAGATGGATGACCAAAACTGGTATGTACTGATAAAATACTTACTTTAAAATACCCATATTTGGTGATCTAACATCATTTTCCACAGAAGCAAGAATAAATGACAGCTTGGCAGCTAAGCTGGTGGGAATTAGCTTTGGTCTCCAGCTGTATTACTATCTGCTAATAATTTTGGTTATGTCACATAAAATGTTTCCTTAGAAGAATCAAAAAATATCTAAATAAACATTTTACTGGTGGTTTAATTACATATATAAATTAAAGCAATTATAAACATATCTACTGAAAATACTATTTTAAATACTAGTACATTCCATTTTTAGGGGGAAAGTTCTGAATATAAAGAGCTATAGTTGAGGGGAAAATAAATGGTATTTTAATGAATTAATAAGTTGATTTTTTCACTAACATAAAATACCAAGAAAATACGTTTCTGGTAAAATAATTTTTAATGTCACAGTAGGATAAATAATGAAATAAATTGCACGTTGTTAGCAAACAGACCATATCAAATCCACTGTATAGAATATAATACAAATGTTTCATGATTTGAGCAAAAAATCATCAAGAATCTAAATACAATGGAACTAATAAAATTGGACTATACTCACACTATTGCTTTAATGCAAATACACAATCAAGTTAAGTCTAGAAAAGTCGATTTGGTTTAGATTGGTTTATAATAATTTAAATGAAGTACACTAAAGTACGTCAAAAATTTATTGGAGCCAGTATAGTTTTGAAAGAATTTTTTTATATAAGAAGGCTCCTGTTATGTCAAAATTCATGCAAGTTAAGCACTCTTTAACTATGTGTTAAAGTTACATGATCACACATTACATGTGATCATTCTTGTCATTTTGATCATTCATCCTAGCAAGACCTTCATGTGATTTGGTATACTTCAAAACCCCCTGTTAAGTTTTCATTAGAAATCATCACATGAACCATAGCTTATTTAAAAAATACCATTCTCACCAGATTGATGATGTGTATTATGTCCTGAAGTCTCAACAGATTGCCTTTGCTCACTGTCTGAAGAAGACAGCAAAGACGTAGTATGAGGGCTTTCTGCAGAAGATAATGCTGAATGTGCCTGAGCTGACATTGCAGAGGATGTAGAAGGTTGAAGAAACTCTTCAGCTGGAGTATCCACTTCCATTGCAGTTTCACCTACTTCCAAATCAGTACTTGATGGGATGGTGGGAAGTGTGGACACATCTGACTGACTAGTTCCACCTTCAGAAAGCACATTAATGAAAATTAAAAATCTAAAACATATTTTCCAAAATCAATTGCTTTAAAGAGATATGCTCAGCTCACACATATGTACACAAACAAATTTAGGGTATCAAAAGCACCCACTGGTGATTTGGTCCACTTGACCAAACAGGTTAATCAATAGGGTTTAAAAAAAAAAAAATTCTATCTACAGTATATTCTTGCTAATATAATCAGTCTTCCAACCAAAATGTTTAACATGAGAGCTTCACTTAGATAAAATTATGGAAGTTTTTGAGCTATGTACAAATCATGTCTAGTCCTTTAAATTTGAAGATGGCAATTCTGATCCAACAGCTGGACTACAGGACAATGGATTTACTCTGATGTAGTAGCACACTCTACATTCTGGTATGGCATTCTAGGATAAGCACTGGACCACAAAATCATTTGTATCACGAGGTTGGTGGTTCAAACTCACCATCCACTCTTCAAAAATCCTACACAGGGTCCCTATGAGTCGAAACTGACTCAAGAGCACTTAACAATAGCTTCACACTCTATAACATACCATCCTTGGTAAAATATTTACCAAAAGTTTAATTTGTGCTAGAGGCAACACGAAAGCTAAAAATCGGCCAGAATAGAATAAAGTTCCGGATTCCCATTGCATAAGCAATAGTGTTGGAAGTGCGAGAAACACTCAAGGTTTAAGAAAAGGCCTGAGTGAGGGACGTGTGCTGTGTTAGGGTCTGTGCTAGCTGCAGAGAATTAATAAAGAGAACTCAATAAATGTTAAAAACGTATCTCTTTTTACTTCAAATGTAGATTTTATAAAAAGAGAAATAGGATGGGCTAAAAAATAAAGAAGTTAATATGTTGTAAGATGAGACTACCACAGAGAATTAAAAACAATGATACAATGAATTATTGTTACATTTTTTTCTTTTAATCGCCAGTATTTTAACATTTCCTGATTTCAACATAAGGATAAATTTAATAGTTCTTTAAAAACCCATTGTCGTAGAAGTTTTTAAAAACCTAACTGTTACAGGAGTTACCAATAACAATCTGTGAAAAGAAATCCCTCAAATTTTTTCTTTTAGAATTTGAAATATTGTCAAGTGGCTGAATGTTACCAACAGCAGCCATATATTAACCACCCAAAACAACACTATGAAGAAGTTAATGTGTATCGAATTGGGCTGTGAACCGCAAGGTCAGCAGTTCGAAACTACCAGCCGCTCCATGGGAGAAAGATGAGGCTTTCTGCTCCCATAAAGATTTACAGCCTCGGAAACCCTGTACAGGGTCACTATTGGTCAGAACCGACTCGACGGCACTTAATAACAACAACAACAACATACCTCTCATTGTTTAGAGAGATAAGTAACTTGCCAAAGATCATAAAGTTGGAAATCAGTAAAAATGATAAATGAGGTCAGCCAAACCTCAGAGCCAATAATTAATAATCAATGTATGCAAATAATAAAAAAGAGATTATTAAGTAGTAAAAGGAAGCTTCAAAAAATTCATGGAAAAATTGAATGAAAAGATAATGCAATTTTTCCACAAATTTTTGAAGACCCCTGAAGCTGTAAAACTTGCTTATCTACAGAGTTTTGTATATTTTCATTCACAGAGTACATATAAAAGGACTTAAAATGGAGAATCTCATTTTTTTTTAAAGAGCAAAGAAAAGGTGAAGTCTAGTGGAACCAGAAGGGCAAATTATAATCATTATCTTTGTCCTCTACTGTTATATACAATATAATGAGAACCCTGTGATTACTACAGTTATAAGACAGGATATAAATGATATAGTATAAATAAAATTGGTTTCAATAAACAGTTTGGTCATTTCTATCATTTCACTTAATTTTAAAAATTACCTCTTGAGCGAGATCTTCCTCGTCCTCTATTGCTTTGCGCAACTTCACTTGCTTCCTCAAACCATCGTGATAACATGTCAGACATCCTCTGCATCAATGACACATTGGGGCTTTGCTCTCCTAAGACAACAGAATTCTTTTCAGTGCTTTTGAACCTTTTTTTTTTTTTTTTTAATGTTTACTTGTGTTTCATTGACTACACAAATGCATTAGACTCTATGGATCGTAACACATTATGGCTAACATTGCGAAGAATGAAAATTCTATGCTTATTTATGCTCATGAGGAATCTGTACCTAGACCAAGAGGCAGTGGTTCAAACAGAAAAAGGGGCTAATATTTGTTAAGCCATTTAAAAAAAATCAAATTGTCTAAATAAATTATATACATATATAAATTTATTAAAACTATCATCACATTATATGGCAACTGTTTATATTGTGAGTTCCTTGAGAACATGGCACACATCTCCTTCATGGTTGCCTGATCTTAGAAATGCCCCCTACAACACTCATGGTTAATTCTAAGAGTGGCAACTGAGAAGTGTCCATGAATTATAAATTGGTAGTTAGGTGCCGTGGAGTCGGTTCTGACTCATAGCAACCCTGTACAGTGTTTCTGAGGCTATAAATCTTTACAGGAGCAGAAAGCCTCATCTTTCTCCTGTGGAACTGCTGGTAGTTTCGAACTGCTGACCTTGCGGTTCGTAACCATTATGCTACCAGAGCACCTTGAATTATACATTAAATAGGTTAAAATAAAGATTTGTGATCTCATTAAAGCATTACTGTTAAGGATAAACTGTTTTTTGTGTGGTGCCATCAAGTACAACAGAATGAAATACCACCTGGTCCTGTCCCATCCACACATCTCCTATATTTGAGCCCATTGTTGTAGCCACTGTGTCAATCCAACTTGTTGGGAGGTCTTCCTCTTTATTGATGTCCTTTTCAAGGAACTAATTGCTCCTGACAACAGGGTCAAAGTGTGTGAGATAAAGTCTCATCATCCTTGCTTCTAAGGAGCATTCTGATTGTACTTCTAAAACAGATTTGTTTTTAATTCTGGTAGCCCAAGAAAGCGAGCTGGTGTGGCTCTGCAGGTTAATGCACTGGACTGCAAAGTTGTTTGAACCACAAGGTCAAGGGTTCGGGCTCACCAACTGCTTCCTGTAAATAGGGTCACTATGGGCCAGTACTGATTCAAACCCTATACAGGGTTGGAACCGACTCAATGGCACTTAACAACAACAGTCCAATGTACTTTCAATGTTCTTCACCAACACAATTCAAACTCATCAATTATTCTCTGGTCTTCCTTATTCATTGTCCAGCATTCAAATGCATATGAAATGGCTGAAAATACCATGGCTTGTGTCAAGCTCATTTTAGTCCTCAAACTGACATCTCTGTTCTTTTAAACTTTAAAGAGGTCCTTTGCAGCAGGTTTGCCCAATGAGATATATCCTTTGATTTCCTAACTGCTACTTCCAGGAGTACTCATTGTAGATCTATGTAAAATGAAATCCTAGACAACTTCAATCTTTTCTCCGTTTATCATGATGTTGCTCTGTGGTTTAGTTGTGAGGACTTTTGTCTCCTTTAAATTGAACTGTAATCCATACTGAAGCTGTATTCTTTGATATTCATCAGCAAGTTTTTAAAGTCCCCTTAACTCTAAGCAAGTAGGGTTTTGTCATCTGCATATCAATCCTGATGTTGTGTTCTTCTTCAGATTATTTGCTTAGCATACAGATTGAATAAGTACAGTGAAAGGATACGACCTGGGCACACAATATTCCTAATTTTAAAATATTCAGTGTTCTGTTAGAACCGGTCCCTCATGAGCACAATGAAGTATTCAGGAATTCCCATTCTTCACAAGGTTATCCAAAGTTTGTTATGATCCACATAGTCAAACGCCTTCATACAGTCAATAAGATACAAGTAAACATATTTCTGATGTATTCTGTTTTCAGCCAAGACCCAGCTTACATAAGCAGTGATATCCTTCATTCCACATCTTCTTCTAAATCCAATTTGAATTTCTTGCAGCTCCCTATTGATGTACTGCTGTAACCAATTTTTTATCTTCATCAAAATTTTACTTGCATGTGATACTAATGATAGTGTTCGATAATTTCCACATTCTGTTGAGTTATCTTTCTTTGGCATAGACACAGATATGTATTTCTTCCAGTCAGTTGGCCAGGTAGTTTTTGCCTTCCAAAATTCTTGGCATAGATGAGTGAGCACCTCCAGTGCTATATCAATTTGTTCAAATATTTCAATTTGTATTCTATCAATTCGTGGATCCTTGTTTTTTGCCAATACCTTCAGTGCAGCTTGGACTTCTTCCTTCAGTACCATCAGTTCTTGAGCATAAACTATCTCTAGAAATGGCTGAACATCGACCAATTCTTTTTGGTACAGTGACTCTGTATATTCTACCTTTTTTTTTTAAACCTTAAAAGCCTGTGTTTATTTTTGACTGGACCACAAGATGAAATTGGGTTACAGGAAAGATAAAAGTGTGAACGTGTCCATGGCTGTAATGCTGGAGTAAGGAAGTGGGTACAGTTTCATTAGAATCTGAGCATGGGTTCTGGAAAACATATGATAAAATGATTTAACAGGACTTCCTGAGCCTAACATGAGGGCACATTAATTAGGTAATTGGGTGACCAAAGAATCAGTAAAATTTCCAGCCTATGAAGTTGAATACATTTACTGGCTTTAACCTTATGTATCACCTGCAGCCATGCTTATGGGTTACCGATTTGAAAAATTGTAACTGCACCATCTGAGGTTCTTGCAGTCTTTGGTGCTGTGCGGTGACAATGAGCTGACTTTCAATGCTATTACAACAGAGTAAGTATTAAACTTATAGGGCATTAGTAAATAAGTAACACTGCTTATTGTGCAATTAAAAATCTAAAAATATTTAAACCTACTAATATAAGTTTTTAAAATGCTGATCCATATAAAATTTCCACTGTTGTATAAAGGCTTTCCTAATGCAACTCCCAGGCTCTTAAATTTCAAAAAGGACAGAATAAAATTCTTAATTCAAAATTTCTGTCACTCTTCCTGAGGTTTGTGTCTGAAGTAAAAGACCAATAGCTTAATGTGGCTACTTATGGAAACCATAAATTCAGTGTGAAACCTGCTTCAAGGTTATATATAAATTATTTCAGACAAATAAATACATATGTTGACAATTATGAAAAATGTCTATGTTACCCATAAAAACAAGTCTTATAATACTCACATACTGAATACTAGAGGGGTCAGTTTGAATGAAGATTCTGCTGTCCTAAATAAAAATTTGTTTGAGGTTATCCCTTTAACATATGCCAACCGTAGTGGTGACGAGTTGGCTGCTAACCTCAAGGTCAGCAGTTCAAAACTACCAGCCGTTCCACGAGAGAAAGATAAGGCTTTCTACTCCCATAAAAAGGTACAGCCTCGGAAACCCTGTACAGGGTTGCTATGAGTCGGAACTGACTCCACGGCACAGTACCACCACCACCAATATGACATATTTGTAAAACAATTCAGCAGTCTATCACAAAAATCCTGACCAACATTATCATCATCAAACTAGAGATGGTTTCAGCATCATCCCTAGGAGATTTACTAACAGGCTACAATACAATAGACTCAGCTTTTTAAACAGGAAAGAGATGTTTTTAATTGTTACAAAAACAAAGCAGGCAGATACTTCATTTCATATCAAGTGAAACTCTGTTATAAAACTTTCATTTATCACATTCCTGCAGATACTACTTATTTAAAAAGTTCTAGTCAAGATCAATACAGCGATTTCATGTACTATGGCATTAAAAAAAATCTTTAGAGATTTTGAAAGGTCACTATTTCAATACATCGGAAAATCTCTTTGATATCCCATGCGAGTAAAGTTTTACTAAAGGTAATAAACGACTGCAAGCATACACTGACAGAGAACTTCCAGAGGTTCAAGCCGGATTCAGAAGAGGCCGTGGAACGAGGGATATCATTGCTGATGTTCAATGGATCTTGGCTGAAAGCAGAGAATATCAGAAAGATGTTTACCTGTGCTTTATTGACTACACAAAGCCTTTCAATTGCATGGATCATAACAAGCTAT